ATTGCCAAGTGAGGCGTGATTCCCAAGGTCTCAAAAATCCGGCCAAACCAGACGTGGTTCAGTTCCGGATTTTTGCAAATATTATGTGTTGGTGTGAAGGTTGGGCTGCGAATCAGATACTCTTCATTTCTCTTTCTCTTTCTATCTACCTGGCTATCTATCTATCTAGCTGGTAACGTATATACACACACACATATATACATATATGTATGCATGTATCAATGTATGTATGTATGTATGTATGTTTGTATATATGATAGATTATCTTTCTATCTATCTATCTATCTATCCATCTATATATATATGCACACACACACACACACACACACACACACACACACACACACACACACACACACAGAAAGTTAGGTAAATATATCGATATATCAATCTTTGGCTATGTGTTGAGAAAATATATATATATGGAGAAAGAGGATGAGTGAGTGAGAGAAAGAAAGAGAAAAGAGAGTGAAAGAAAGAAAGAGAGAGGGAGAGGGATAAATAGAAAGATAGATGGATATAGAAAGAAAGAGAGAGAGTGAGTGAAAGAAAGAAAGAAAGAAAAAGAAAGATAAAAGGGAAAGACAAGTGGATAGAGGAGAGATAAAGAAAGTGAATAAAATAAAGAGAGAAAAAAACAACAAGAAAAAGAGAAATAAAGAGAAGAGAGAGAGTGAGTAACAGAGAGAGAATAGAAATAGGGAGAGATAAGGGAGGCGAGGGAGGAAGGGAGAGAGAGAGAGAGGAGAGAGGAAGAGATATAGATAGAGAGAAAGGAGAGAGGGAGAAATAGAGAAAGGGAGTGAGAGAGAGAAAGTGAGTGTGTGTGTGTGTGTGTGTGAGAGAGAGAGAGAGAGAGAGAGAGAGAGAGAGAGAGAGGGAGAAGAGAGAGAGAAGAGGGGGGAAGAGTCAGTGAGAGAGAGTCAGAGAAGAGAGAATAAAACGAGAGAGAGCCACATACACACACACGCAGAAAGTTATGTAAATATATCGATGTATTAATTTTTTCGATACATGGAGAAAAAGAGAGAGAGAGAAGAGAGAGAGAGAGAGGAGAGAGAGAGAGAGAGAGAGAGAGAGAGAGAGAGAGAGAGAGAAGAGAGAGAGAGAGAGAGAGAGAAAGTTTTGTAAATATATTGATGTATCATTTTTTCGTTGTAATAAGCGATAAAACGATACTGTTATTGACTAAGGGGATAACGATACCAATACGAAAGTATCAATCGATATGTATCTTAATATTGTCCATTTCTGTACTTACATATTATAGATTAATATCTAGATATGTAGATGGCTAAATAGACGTGTGCATCAGTATTCATGATCTATGTGTGATGTATGTTTGTGTGTTGTCTTGCGGACACGCTCTCTCTGCAAACAGCGCCCACTCCCTCCTGGTACAAGTAAACAAACTGAATGATATTAGACACATACACGAAGGTGGGTGGGCGTGCGGGTGGGTGGTTGAGCGTAGGAGAGGTCGACTTGCATGAGTCAGCTCGCTGCATATCGCCGTCTGTTCACACCCTCGGAGCCAATGATTTAGTAATGTCAGTTGATATTAGTTTTACTGAACAATTACTGATATTTTCACTGTCGCCACGAGCGTCAGGATTTATGTGTTCTTATACTTCCTATTTGTTTTCCGTTTTTTGTTTTTGTGTGAATGAGCTTTTGTCTCTGTCCTGTGCTTAAATGTCACTCCGCTCTGTGCTGTTTGTTTATTTTATGAGGCCGGCCCTTCAGCCTTTTTTGAGTGGATTTTATTTATTCATTTGTTTATCTATCGTGTTCTTGTTTAGTCTGTCTTATATCACACTCTCCAGCATCTCCTTCTAATTACTAACGTCCTCCTTGCAGCGTCGCGTGGGCCGCCGCCTGCGGCCTCATGCTCGTGCTCTGGCAGGACCCATCCGCCCTGCCCGCTCACCACCAGCACCTGTCGGCGCCCGCGCCCTCGCGCGCGCGCGGCCACAGGATCCGCACGCACGTCAGCAACCCGCTCTACCTGCAGGTGCGAGGCAGCGACAGGACGGAGAAGTACCCGACCTACAGGAGAGATGGTGCGTCCACGCCTCGGCCCTCGTCACTATCATCACCATTACCACCACGTCGTCATCACAATCACCACCATCTGTCAAGGGTGAGGGGTGGGCGACCGCCCTCACGACCTCTCGCTCGACGACCTCTGCGTAACAGGCACCGTCACACCTTGACGCGAGGTGAGGTCGTTGGTGCACGGCGGGTCGCTCGTGGTCGTTTAGGTAGCGTCCTCGTTAGCGCTAGCTCTAGAACTGCTGCTGCTGCCGGGCCGGGCCAGTCATCAGCCTCATCGCCATTACCATCACCATCATTACACTGTTTTTTTTCTGAGATCACGGGAAATAACATCAGTGAAAATACCTTAAAATAGAACGGGGGAGGGAGGGGAGGAGAAAGAGAAATAAGTAGAAAAGAGAGCAGAGAAGAAACGAGATGGAGAGAAGAAATAAGAAAAAAA